AGTAGTTTCCCGATGGCTATGTTAGCTTCAGATTGGAATCGGAGATGTTTGTATGCTTTGAATAGGTTTGTGGGACCATGACATTTGTGTGGCTATAAAAGCATCTCATTAAGGGTAAATGGGTAAAATGAAAGAGTTTAAAGTTGAGTTATTTCCAAATTTAGAAATGTGTCATTTGTTTTGGAACAAACTAAAAAGGAAAGTACCTCATCTAATATGAAACGGAGGGAGTATCTCTTTACCGATCAGGGAAAAAAAAGAGAACTGAAAATTATTCAATGTCTTGTACCTGCCGACACTGGCCAATGCATCACAAGAGGGTATGAAAAACCTTCGTACTGCCTTGGTGCCATCCCTGCTCTATGGTGTTGATCCGTAGTGTAGCTGGGGCGGAATTTCAGGTCTTGAAATAATCTTGGCAAGGGTTTGTATTATGGTTGTGGATGTATTTTTAAACAAAGGAAACAAATGGAACTTAGATCCAAATTCCATCTCACCAAAATCAACAAGCATAAATCATAACAAGCTCATTAGTACAATTGTTTTAGCAGTAATAGTTCTGAGATTTGATGTGTATCTAGTTGACCAATTTCCATCCCTTTGTCAGCCTTTTTATATGCTTCTTCAACTTTTAGTTCTAAGTAAATTTTGTTAATTATTCTTTTCCTTCTAGTCTTGTATGCTTCTACATATGCATGCTTATACACATAATGATGCATTATTGGACTTCTGCATTACCTGTAGTTATATGCTTTTTAAAATATGGTTTTTGTTTTCTCTTTCCCGGGGGAGCCGGAGAGTGCTTGAGGTCAAGCTAAATTGAACTTCTGTCTCAATTTTCGTAGTTCAGTCTTGTTTGTAGTGGCAGTTTTTGACTCCTTTTCCTGACAGATTCATTTTTGGTAATTTATTCCCAGAGGCTCTGCCTCTATGAATTTCAGCAACGTGGGTTCATCAACCACCAGAGATTCCTTTCTTGGAATAAACACGGGCCCTCTTGCTTTTATTCTTTTTGATATCAAACGTTTGGGTCCGTTCTCAGGGACTGTTACATTTGTGTTGTCATCTTGCTCATGTTAATAGGATGATTGAAATACCTGCATCAAACCACGAAACATGACATGTAAATACATCCGCACATCTCCTAGCATTTTGCGTTCTTAACATTATTTTTCTGTTTATTATAGGAAATGACGACGTAGATAGTGGGAGAAAGAAGATGAAGCACAGGGGAAAAAATGTTGTATGGTCCCCTGCAATGGACAAGTGTCTGATTGAAGCACTTGCTATCCAAGCAAGAAATGGAAATAAAGTTGACAAATGCTTCAATGAAAATGCATATAATGCTGCCTGTGTTGCTGTTAATACTCATTTCAGCTTGTCGTTAAATAACCAAAAGGTTATTAATCGTCTTAAGACAATCAAAAAGAGGTATAATATAATCAGTAATATCCTCAGTCAAGAGGGATTCTCTTGGAATCCAAATACAGATACAATCGACTGTGAGGATGATGATCTTTGGAAGAAATATGTTGCTGTAAGTTTTAGCTTGTCATGCTCGCTTTTTGTTCCAAACTTTGGTTAATACTTTTTTTTTTTTTTGGGGTTGTGTTTCCCTTCTCGTTATCATCTCTCTTAGTTCCATAAGATACTTTGTATTCTTCTGCTTGCCTGATGCCATTGTACAATATCTAATATGTTATTAGGCACACCCTGATGCTAGGGCTTTCCG